TCTCTTGCAGCCTTGAAGAGCAAAGACACTCTGCAATAAGCACACCCTACTTTGATGCAAATGTCAGCTGCCCAAACTCCAGTTTTAACCTGATTGCCTGCAGGCAATCAGTCCTGAGCAAGTCACCAGTATCTTTTTACCCTCCTGCATTTGCACCTCCACTTTGTTGCTTTCATCCTTGCTCACATCTGGCTGGTACTTTCCTCCCAAGTGATCTATAGTCACCACTACCTGCCTCCTTCTCTCCCTTTTTCCTCATCTAGTTCTAACATATCTTGATTTTTAAAATCTCTGTCTTACCCAAAACACCATGTCCTCAATTCCACATTAGCACTAAAAATATCTACTTATCTTAGAACCACAGAACTCAATTTCTTAAAAGAAAACAGTGGCATGGGTCTCTTTGCAAAACTGCATGTATCAAGAAACTTAGCGCTGGGGGAAAAAATGCAGAAATAGCCAATGCTGGAAAAAGTGTTGTGGAGGTTGGGGAAGTAGGGAAAGGAAGGAGCCAGAAATTGGAAGGAAATGGCCATGAAGTATATTTTGTCTTCTTCTAGCAAATGGTGACGCCATAATGAGACAGGAGGTGCTCAGTTTTCCTGGGTTTGGGTTTTAGGACACTCCTCCAAGATTCAAGCCATTCTGCAAGGTCTCAGGCTTCTCCTCTACGCCCTCCCCTAGAGGAAAGTTACTGTTGCTAATTGCATCTATTTTCAGCACCAGCATGGGGAAACTGAGACCACAAGGGGCAGATCTGTAGCACTCCAATGGCTGAGCATGCTCAGCAAAAACACATTATATAACCCCAGTGACTGAGCATGCTCAGTAGAAAGAAGTTTATCCTTTGAAAGACCTTCCACTAGGGGCACTGAAGAGCACTGAATATTTCTAAGAACTTAGAAATATTTAGAATATTTCTAAATATTTCCAACTTCTTCAGTGAATATGTTGGAATTTAACCAATGAGCATGCTCTAAAAGAGACCAACTGAGCATGGGCAAGACTATGTTACATAACTGGGAACCACCTCCTTAATTAAATATCATTTGACAGCTTGAATATGTATTAGATAGCAAAACCATAAAAGTTGAATCCTGGTAGAAGGTGGGGCTGCTGCTTTCTCTAGAGCCAGCCCACACTTTGTATGAGGTCTGTATTTCCTTTGTATCAAACTTGCCTTTAGCAGGCTGCTGTTCACTCTGGGGTGAGCCTCCTCTTTGTCTGTAAATGTGTATTTTTTACTTTTGTATTAAACTTGCTGCAGTTGGTTGCTCACTTTCCTGGGGCCAACCCATACTTCACCAAGTGAGGTGCAAATACTATACTTTTGTGTTAAACTTATTTTTAACGGACAGCTGCTCGCTCTCTTGAGCCAACCTAACTAAATGTTAACTGTACATTTCTTACTTTTGTGTTAAATTTTTGGTGCAGGCCCTGCTCAAGGCCCTGCTCAAGGCCCTGCTCAGTCTCTGAAGCTAGCCTGCATTTTCTCTGTGAAGCCTGTGTTTCTTTCTGTTACATTAAACCTGTTTTCATCTTGTACTGGACTCTGCTCTTGAATTCATTCCTGTGATGGAATCAACTTGCTAGAGGACAGGGTGGATTGAGGCCGGCTACCAGGCCTTCCCAGACCCTTTCCTCCAATATCAATAATAAAATAAATATTAAAAATGTAATTATTACTCCCCAAGGGGATATTCAGTCTTGGGAAATCTAAATTTCTTCATAAGGCACAAATCAGAAGAATTTTTCAGACATAAAATTCCCTAGACATCTTTCCAGGAAAAAAAAAAAAAAAGACAAATATAATTTAATGCTAACCTTGTATGGGAAGACAGACACTAATGATGAGAGCTGTGCATAGTTGGTGTTAATTGTAAATTCTTGAAGACTGATTGTTCTAGCGCAGTAAATCTAGTAAATCTCGCTCAACTCAGCTACCTCTTGGTTAGGTCTCCTCACCAATCATTGATCGATCACTAAGGGGGTGTGTTTGAATAGAGAAGAGAAGAGGGCCAAGGGCCAAGCACTGGATCATGGGGGTGGGCAGCAAACAGCAAGAGTCAAGAAAGAGTGTCCGGGGAGGAAAGGAAGAAGGTGAGTGGGGGGTCCAAGCATCCAACCGAACCAAGCATCCAAGAAGAAGTGTCAGACACTGCTGATGGGTGGTATGAGAGCAACCCAGAGGACAGAGGTCAGAGAAGACCTCACCAGCAGCGGCTGACCTGGCAGCCTCCTTCCTGCCTCTGTCCAATACAGTCAGCCCCAACTTTCAGCTGAGGGTTTGGACTACAGGGGTGCTGGCTTCCTGTTTCCTGTGAAGCTGGAGAACCCCAAGATTTCTCTGTTATCCCTGGTTTCTGTTGGTTGAGCTGCTCGTTGTGCAGAGACCTTATAGCACTTAACAAAGTCACTGCCAACAAGCATTGTAGCCAAGGAAGGCAGGTTGCATCCTTCTTTCACCAACACCCAAAGGGCAAATGACTTGTTTCAGGAGCTATGTGAACCCAGGGGCCCAGAGCTGATTATGGCCTGACAAGTACCAAGCACACTGTAGGCTCCTGAACTACGCACTTGACAGGCTCTTTCACTGAATTCTCACAAGAACTGTGCAAGGGATGTGGGCCTGGCTGGGCAGGGGGCTGGTGGAGGCCTTGGTGGTCCGTGCACATCAAGGACTCAGGATAGCTATCCAAAAGCCTGGAGAGAGCACTGTGTTGGGGAGAGGTGGCTGGGAGTCTGCCTGGATGAACCTGACATTGTCAGACAGACACTGACCTGTTTGGGAAGATCACATTGGGAAGGAGGAACACTGAGCAGGATCAGGGTTTTGTAGCACCATGTGTAAATTTACTGTGTTCTGTCCACCTGGGAGGGCCTGTCCGGTTTGAAGTTCTGTCTTTCTGGATGGGGAACTGCTTGTCTTTCTGATTGGGTGGTCCATCTGTCTATCTGTCCAGCTGGAGATCTATCTGACTCACTGAGTGTATTAGTCCACTTTGTGTTGCTATAACAGAAATACCTGAGACTGGGTAATTTATAAGGAAAAGAGGTTTATTTGGCTTATGATTCTGGGACGGTTGCATCTGGCACAGGCCTCAGGCTGCTTCTACTCATGGCAGAAAGTGGCAGCAGCCGGTGGGGACAAGCAGATCACATGGCGAGAGGAAGCAAGAGAGAGAGAGAAGGTGCCAGGGTCTTTTTTAAAGCAACGAGTTCTCGTGGCAACTAATAGTGCAAGAACTCACTCATTAATCCCCAGGGAGAGCATTAATCCATTCATGAGGGATCCACTCCCATGACTTGATCAGTTTCCAACACTGCCACATTGGAGATCAAATTTCCACATGAGTTTTGGAGAGGACAACACATCCAAACTCCATCACTGAGTATCTATCTGTCTAGCTGGGGGTCTGTCTGACTGTTGTATTTCTGGCTGGGAGACTACATGTCTGTCCAGCCAGTTCTGAGGATGTTGTCAAGCAAGGAGTCGGTCTGTCTGGAGTCCATTTTTCCAGCTAATTCTATCTACTTGGAGGTTCACCAACCTGTCTGGCTGGTAGCTGGCCTGTCAGGCTAGAAATCTGTGTTGCTGGCTGCAGATCTGCCAACAAGTTCTTTGTCTGTCCAGCTCAAAGGCTGGGAATCTGTCTGGCCAGGGATTTGTGTGAACAGCTAGGGGTCAGTCTGGTTGGGGGTCTATCTTGGGTCTGTCTAGATAGGGTCTGATTTGTTGGGGGTCCATCTGTCTGAACTGCTGGAGATGTGTATCTACTTGTCGGGGACAGGGCTTGTCTGCCCATCTGGGAGACCATTTGACCAGCTGCAGTCCAGATAGGGGTCCACTGTCCATCTCGCTGGGGGTGGTCTGTCCAGCTGGGGGGGTCTGTCTGTCCATCCAGCTTGGGATCTAGCTGGTCAATCAGCTTGGCAACCATCTATCTCTCTGAGGTGAGTATCTCATTGTCTGGCTAGGAGTCTACCTGTCTAAGGGTCTATCCATCCAATGGGGGACCCATCTATGTAATGAGCTGGGGGTCCATCTATCTGCTAGCAGGTACTCTGTCTGTCTGAAGAATCTGCTGATCGGCAATGTCTGCCCAGCTGGGAGATGATCTGGAAAATGGAGGATCTGTCCAACTCAGGATGCTTATCAATCTGAAGGTCTGTCTGCTTGTCTAGCCAGTTGACTGCCTGGTGGTCCACCCAGCTGTCTGCCCAGCAGAGATGCATCAATTTTTCTGACAAAATGGGTTCTGCATAGCTGGTGGGCACTGTCTGCCTCTCTGGGGACCCACCTGTCTGGCTAGTTGGGAGTTTGGCAGACTGGCTAGGATGTCTATACAGTCAGGGTTTCTGTTTGTGTGGCTGTCTGTCTGTCTGTCTGGGAGTCCATCTAGCTAGTTGGGAGTCTGGCTGGCTGGAAGGGTGTCAGTGTGGGATCTGTGTAGCTGGAGGGGTGGTGGGTGGTCTGTTTAACTGAGGAGATGTCTGAGTATCTGTCCAGCTGGGGATCTATTTATATCTGTCTGGGAGTCTATCCAGCTAGGGGTCCCTCTGGCTGTCTACCTCGTGGAGGGGTCTGTCTTTGGGGGTCTCTTTGTTTAGTGGTCTCTCTGGCTGAGACTGGTCTGTCTGGCTGTTGGTTGGTCTATCTTCCTGGCTGGTGGTACATCCATTCAGCCACAGACTGTCCCTCTGAAGGTCTGGCTGTCTTGGGGTCTGGCTGAATGACTAGGGGTCCAGCAGTCTTTCTCGGGGACCACACATCTCTCTGTGTGGTCACCAGAGCATCTGAGCGAGGGAGGCTCAGATACCAAGGATGGACCAGTCCATTATGTGGTGAGGGGGCAATCTCTTGAAGCCGATCTGTCCATTCTCCCCTTAACAACTTTGGGATTCCAGATGTTCTTTCTTGAATCTGCTCAGTGTTGACTCACCAGCCATTAGTCTCCCACATACCTCCCCGAGCCTCAAGTCATGAATACTACAATCGCTAGGGCAAAACCCCCACATTTCCCACCCTGAGAAATTTTTATTTTGGTTCAGGCCCAGTGTCCCCGTTCCTAACACATCGCACAGCACAGCGATGGCCGTCAGCAGTCCAAGCCCCCATGTGGAGCCACAGGCAGGCGTGGGCGCAGCACTCACACCCGGGTCCACTCGGCAGGGGGATCCCGAGGCCCTTTTGGCTTTCCAATGCGCAGTTTAAAGCCTGGGGGAGGAAGAATGTCGTGGGTCTCATGGAGAAACCGAGGAATGAAGAGGTAGGCAACTTGCGGAAGGCCATGCCCTGCGGTCCTCCTGCTTTACTGCAGCCACATCCACAGGACTCCGAGAGCCTTAGCCCCACACCTCCAGCCCTAAACCCCAAACTCCCGGAGTTCACTCAAAGCTGCGTGGAGTTCCAGAGACCCAGGGTCTAACTGACTTACCTAGCCCACTGGTCTGAGCTCCATCCGCCACGTCCTCATAGGCGTCGGGCCCATCAGAGCTTTGGTCAGCAGGAACTGCGAACAGGAGACCCACACCCCACCAAGGGTCAGCTCAGGCTGCCCCATGCAGTCCCGGGACCCAAGGCGGCGGGCTGGGGGCGGCGCCCGGCCCGAGAGGCCGCGCACTAAGGGCGTGGCCAAGTCAGGGACATCCGCCTTTGGGGCAAGGCTTAAACGAACAAGCTGGGATTGCCCAAGGCTGAACTGGGACCCAGTCTCGGAGAATGACCTGACTTGGGGACGCTTCCGGGGCGTGGCCAATGAGGGGCCGTGGTCCAGGGAGCGTGGCCCGGGAAGCCCAGACGTTAGCCTCGGGGGCGTGGCCAGGCAGGGCTAGGGGATCGGGGTCGTCGCAGCCGCCGGGGATGGGGTCCCGAGAAGGAGCAGGTGGGTGCTGGCCCTCTCCGGACCCGCGCCCCGGGCTGTCTCGACTCACCGCGGCCAGACGGCGCCCCCCGCGCGTCCTCCGCTTGCGCCCCGGGCCGCCGGGCGCGCGGCGCCA